CTAAAAAAGTTTGCCATATAATTGTATTATTAATCACGTTATGATAATTTGGAGCTAGAAAGTTTCCCAGTGATGTAAAATTTGTAAGAAAGTCCAGAATGAATGTGAGGAAAAGTAGGTTAATATATCTGTCTCGTATCACCGTTACCGGGCACAGTACGAGCTCATAGCTAGTCCTATTTTTCTCGACCCTCAAAGACGACCACACCCTGCATGTAGAGAGATCGTAAACACCGCTTTCTAATTTCTCCTGGATTTCTTTCCCATTCCTTGCCATTATTCCGGGTATGCCAGCGGGAAGTACTAAGAGATGCCCCTATCGAATGTCCCGTTGTTGTGATTTGTGGTCCACTGTGGATCAACAAACAAGTTTTGGCGGGTCAGAGGCCATGCGGCTGGGAAAAAAAACTTTCTTGTAAGTGACTTCTTTGACCGCAGAGAGATAATGCAAATTGTGAAAAGTATGGCATATCGCTTCCTCGCTAAAATCTTGCATTGAGAACATTTGTTTATCCAATTAAGCAGGGTACTTACTTAATTTTTGTTTATGTCGTCATGTACTGCACTCCTGCAAAAGTATCCGGTTTTTGTTTTCTAAGTTGTTTCTATTTTCTTCAAAACGCAGGAGTACTTATTTGACTTGCTGTGACACCGAGATAGGGCAAATTTCTACTCATATGATCGACACATTGGCCTGAATAAATATTCACTTTTTCACTTATGTGCCTTTCAACAGGAATGATTTTTTCACCTAATTCTAACTTTGGCAAAAATTATTCTAGATTAAAAAATATCGAAGCAGTGTTATGAAAAATGCTATAATGAAATGGCTGCCAATCAGTAGTTTATAAAACAAAATTATTCTTAAACATTACCAATCTTTATTTATATCCCAAAAAATACGATAAATAGTTACTATATTTTAATAAATTAGAACATCTGGACAGCAATGATAAAAAATATTGGCTTGAGCATGAGTGAGAAAGTTAAAAATCACAAATATTCTCGATATTCCTGCACTTCAATCAGATAAATTAATCAAGAATTTTATGCTATAGTTTATACTCCCAACAAATAGTTTAATTTCCTGTCTGTTTTTTATGTTGTAATGTATTTTTTCTCTTTTCGTCAGCTGCAACTCATCAGTATTTACTGCAGGACACTCAACAACAAGAAAAGATTCTCCGTCAGTACGAAAACTGATGAACCCTGTTGGGATCATCTCTTATTAGACTCGATAGCCTCCTCACCGCTAAGTCGATCAGGACATTTCATCGGCGTTAGTATCAACCTTCGCGACTAGGATGGCCTTAATCTCAATAAAACACTAGTTTAGTTATGCATATCATGCAGTGCATCAGAACATATTTGCCCTCGAGTGTCCTTGTATAACATTACAGGATATCCACCAAGTAAAAACATCTGGATAGAAGAATACTTTTGTATAACTCTGAATCAGGCCCTGCTTACAAATAAAACCTATTTAATTTCATGATCATTATGATTAATAAGTTCACGATATTATTTTATGGAATGATCCTGTGAGTGCAATGTTTTGGCATCTAATTTATCCTGCAGCTCGGTCTTTTACGGATTGTTGCATTTCTGTTCTATTTACGCATCGGAAATTATCTGCTAATAATACTATACCAAATCATTATTAAATAAAAAAATTTTACAACAAAAGGTTCGCGAGTGGCAAACTACAAAGCAAATCGTTGAAATTACAGCAGCTTTTCATTTCCGTACTGCATTAAACTTATTCCGTTACAGAATTTCCGTTTCAATATGTTAACAACTACTTTAGGGGGTCATTAAATATTATTTTTGACAAAGAATACGTTCAATTAATGAAAATCTAACTGTCTCTTCAGTATCGCTCCCAAAGCAGACCTGTGAAATTTTTGTTTTTCCCCGGCATCGTACGTCGTGCCGGTCACGATCAAGTGATGAGCCAGCCCAGGGAAGCCCCAAGCTGTGGGTGGTGTCTGTTCTCCGTTGCACCGTGACGAGACTGGTGTACGATAACTTGGGCCCCTGCTTGCGCGTCCACAGCTCAACAAGTGATGTCAGCTTCACCATTGACGGCAATTTTATTGACTGACAGAGGGCGGAGAGCGAACTTAAGAGCAATTCTTAAGTGCATTACACGAAAAAATATTCCCCAACGATAGCAAGAAAATTTATCGAGAAATTTGCACTGGACGGAATAATTGAGTCAGGGCAAGTTTCTGACGATGAGAAATCATCTCAAAGCATGTTCATAAACGTAAATTTATACGTTGACATAAGTGTTGATGTTTGTGTATTTAGTTGTTTTCAAACTGCTTCACTTACGTCAGTTTTCACGTTTTTACATCGTCTTTATTTTTATTATATTGGCTTTATATTTTAGTTACAACTGGTATATTTTTATGAGAATTTCACGCCATATAATTGAAGTTTTTCAATAATTGTGGAATTAAATATTTGCACGACTTGAAATAAAGGATTCATGGTGTCGGCACTCCATGCCAGGTCCCGGCATCTTTGCTCACAGCGGAGCTAACGGGCGAGTCTCCATAACTCGCGCGCAGACACAGAAAACAACGCCTCACAACTTGACGACTCAATGACGAACATGTAGGCGTCCACATGCAAATAAGTATGCGGTCCGATACATTGTTTTGCGTATCATAGTGAACGCTTCAGAAACCAAAACCAATCACAAAATTTCGGAATTTTCTTTTGTAAAGAACAAACAAATTTTGGCATGTCATTATGTACTGATAGCGTTATGGGTTGAACGTTGCGTACGTTATGAAATTAACTGTTATTATTTACAAGTGGCGATATCACAGAAAATGTAATATGAAAAATATCTGTTTCCGTGTGGGCGTGACAATTCTTGAATAATAGAGATATTTCCGTGTTTTTAATTTTTTTGCAATGATAAACGAAGTGCGAGATCCTGTTATGTTCCTCCAAAAATTTAAAGATCTTTTGACTGTCTGCCGCATCTTACAGCAATGTTGGAAATTTGTGTCCAAAAATATTGCACACAAATAACTCAAGTGTTCCCAATAATTTTCCCCATCTCTTTGGGTTTCGAAAAAAATCATGTGCTGTGAATACATCGTATAGTCCAGACATAATAAATGGACGAAATACAATTTCAGTATTTTTCATTTCGGAATTATGTAGTTCATTCTATCACGTACAATAATTTTCCATAAGGTTATAGAGCTTGAATAAAAATCATTTATTATGCAAATTTAGAATGAATTATGCTCATATAATTTAAACGTAACCAGTATCCTTTGAGCTCTTCCAGACTGGCTATTTATGACTCGTTCATTATTTATTTGCTTGTCATTCTTGACGTGAACGCCGAACAAAGCGGTCACGTTTTAACGTGAGTGCTGTAGGTAGGGGCCTTGTTAAGAGACTACAATGCTTGCAATAACGACTTGTGTTCAGTTTAATCAATGGTCAATGAGCATTCATACCTTTGAGAAGATACCTGGCTAAAAGATCGTACGAGTTTGCCAAGCAATTCTCCTAATTATCTTCTATGTAAGGGCAGCGTTTTAACGAGATTAAATCATAGGAACAAGCCAGCGCCGAATAACGGTCATACGAAGGGTAATATTCAGCCATTTCCATCGCGAACTGTTCCAACGCTTTTTAAACGACCAGTCCTAGATATTTCTGCCGACAACAAGGGAATGATTATCAACTCATTGTGAATAATTCAACAGCCGAATAGGCCGTTTAAATTAGAGTTAACTTGGAAACATCTTGTGTTATAAACCTGGGTAATGATTTGTCCAATGATGGTGCAATTTAAAAGAATTACGTTCAAATGAATGTCTAACGAACCTTTTTGCAATCTATGAAGGTTTATGGCTCGTGTCTTTAATCGCAGAACAATTCTTTTCTTAAAAATTATTTAAGGCCAGTTTGTAAATCGAAATATTTTTTGGATTCTAATCGCGATTCGTTTTAAGCAAAATTTAATTGTAATGATAAATCACATATAAATATAATCTAAGAGACAAGATGAAATTGAAAATATGTAAATCAGATCTCACCCCATGCATTTTACCTTCCTATAACCGCTTTAAAAATGTTTCCTGCAAGTATGCATTCAAAATTTTATGCATAAAAATGTAATATATATTACAATAATAGTTTCGTTATAGACTATATAGTAAAATGAAAAAGTCGTATTCATTAAATTCCCGTCCTAAAACTAGAAAGAAACCCTGCACGATTAACGTGAAAAAGCGAAGATAAATCGGCTCAAAACTATTCACAAAACCCTTACATTGCAAGCGTGAGCTTGAAACAAAGGTTGGAAACTTTGCTCCGAGAAACCCGCGTAAAAACCATCCAGATTTGCGATTACATCTCGGGGAAACTTCAGCCGGATACCGGCACCAGCGCCGCCCTGCGGTGCGCATGCGAATATCGAAACATGAAACTCGGAATTTTGAAATTAATACTCAAAAGTCATAAATTGAAGTTTCATGTACATCACTCAAAATATAAGATAAATATTAAAGAATCAGTAGTAGCCATAGCTTTGCATTTTAATTAATTTTTCTCCGATGGAAAAATACGCTCGCGAATATCTCCTATATATTTGCGATGCCCAGCTTCAAACTCACACACATGCTTCGACAAATACGAGTATATGCAAGATTTTGTGCACATCCGGCTCCTTTAGCAAAATATGTTTAAATGGAGTTCCTCAAAGACCATCTGGTCCAACAACACAAAGGTTTTTTAATTTGTACTCGAAATGCTAGCATTGACATCCTGTTTGCCCTGTCGGCTGATGCTTGACCCGAGAGTTCAGAGGGCCGCTATATCCTTAGCCGATGCGGGAGGATTTGTGCTGCAGTTGCTGCAGCTGATGCGTTCAGGCACCGCCTCAGCCCGGCGCTTGCAACACCAAGAACTCGGGTAGGTATAAAAGGAGATGCGCAATGCAAGTTCAGTCAGTGGAAGTTGGGGTGTTGTAGGTTGTAGGCACTCCGCTTGATCGAAGATTTAAAAGGTTCTATTTTTTCGCTGCGGAGAACATCCACCAGCGTCGAACTAAATAAAGTAAGCTAACAACAATCATGGTCTGTTTCTTTAAATTCTGTTAAAGAAAATGACATGGACTAGTCCCAATGAAAATTGGGATTAGTTACTCGATGTACAGCCATAACTAATTAGAGTTGTGAAAAATTACAGAGACTGCAACGCCGGCAAGAGCGTGATCCACTCGAGCCCGGCACGGAGGCTTCGGAGATTGTCTTCGCATAGTCTGAAGCTTAACATTATTTAAACATAAATCATACTAGACTCAAAATAAACAACTTAAGAACCAGCAATAACATAACTTTATGCAACAAATGAGAAAATGTCTATTTATTTATCTTGGTTTCCTCCAACCACGAAGAGGTCTGTGCAAGATATCAAAACACCAGCGTTTTAAACGTGACTAAACCTCGACACCAATTTGAACATTCCATGTCACAATAAATTTTAATTGCCTAACTTTTAAGAACAAGAACAGGCATCTTTCTGTGCAAGTAGACTTGAATAAACTTAATCCATATTATAATACTTTTTCGTCCCTTCCAGAAATCGTTGTGCTGGCAGAGCGGTTTTCACAGATTGTACTGCAAAAAATTACAGCTGTGAAAATGGTGAGTAAATCTCAAAAGAATCTCGTCACATTGAGTGTGTTGACCAACTTACATGAAAAATCAATTTAGCCAGTGAAAAACTAAAAACCTTTCAGTACTAAATTCAGTTAATAAACATTTTTAGCGTAAAATAGCATGTCAACCCCAAGTTGTTCAGCAAAAATAATCACTGTATTTTAAAATCCCTCTATCAACAATCCCTTGATCCCGTACCATCTACAACATTGCAGCGCAATTGTTATGACAACTAAGAACTATATTAAATTAATTCGGACTATAATATTAATTAACGCTGAGATGAAGCTTCTATTAAATCTTTAGTGTATGTGTGTAGTAGTCAAGTCAATTTAGTTAACAAGCATTTCAAAGTTATGTTTAATTAAAACGATCGTTGCATCACAGCTACGCCGGTGTCATTTAGGAACTGAATACGTACAGTCGCAGTACCGAGCCTTAGTCAACTGCGGCGTTTGTAGCGGTGTGATTTATATTTCCGGGATGTACCTTTAGTTTAGTTTAACGATATTTATTCACAGATAGTATAATTTGTCACGGCCAGATTTATTTCCGCAACATGACTTTAGTTTGTTGTTTCGAGATTTAATTTTCGACAATATGGCATAATTTTGTAAAAGCGTGAATTTTTTTTCGGAAATGTGACTTAAATATGGCAAGGCTTGACTTTAGTTTGTCGCGACGTGACTTAATTTTCCCGTGACGCGATTTTAGTTCGCTTCTTTTTGTCCGCTTGAGATGCGCGTGTGCGTGGCAGCGCTGCTGGTGACGTCAGCGGTGGGCTACGGGGGCGGCGGGGGTGGGGGGCAGGCCAGGAATGTGGGGGGCTGCAGCCCTGGCAGCTGGGGGTGTGCAGGAGGGGTCCCTGCTCCCGGTCAGTCTTACATTATTTAAGTCTTGCAGTCAAATAATTAGTGTATTGCAAGAAATTAGCTGCAGTTTGTTAATTTATCGTCGTATAAAATATTTTAGTCCAACTTAGTATGGATACGAAGTATAGATTATTGGTTAAGTGAATTTTTAATAAATCTTTCTGTGGAAGTAATTATTGTATGAAATTATATTTATAAATGCCGTTATATTTCTATGCATCAATGAAATTCATGATTCAGCAAAAAATTTTAATTTCTAGCTTGGTGTTTCGTGAATACTCTAATCAAATCGCAAACTAATATATTCCTAATTAGCTTTTCCACGAATGTGCGCATATATCGTTAATTAAAGTTTAAAAAAATGTTCTTCCAGGATTTGGCGGAAATAAGAATCCGATCATCGGAAATAAGAAGGTAGTTTCAGCGGGAGGATCTGGTGGCTATTGGTGGCAGAGTAACAATCCATTCGTTGGGGCCGGCAGCCGAGCCCCGTCAGTTGGAGGCCAAGCCTCTGGTGGCGGTAGTGTTGCAACAGGCAGCTTCGGGAGCCGACCGATCTCTGGCAGCGTCGGAGGGCGGCCGACCTCAGGCACCAAGTTCCCTGGCTCCTTCCCTGGTGTCAGTCAAGGGCCCGTCAGCAACGACATCGTCGGGCCGATGGGCATCTGTCCTCCAGACTTCGTGTGTGTCCACTGGCAGCTCTGCAGGGGCGGTCAGGTCATCATCGACGGCACCGGCATCATTGACAAGACCAAGCGAAAACCTTTTGGTCAAGTGAGCTTAAATATTTAATGATCGTTACTCTGGAATATTTTATTTTTTTGTATATTCTTTTGAGCTCAAATTAGTATACAGTTTACATTTATTTTTTGGGGAATTAGATATCCATTGCTGAGTCGCGGATGAAAATCAAATCTGCCTAATTTTACAATACTAAATTTGGTACTTTGAGTCTTCTTGCATAGTTACGCTCATTCAGTAATACACTGACAAATTATTTCTGCAGGTGTTACGAGTTAGATTTTTAGTTCATTGCAGTCTCCACATCGCAGTAACATAGACAACTTTTTTGCTTTGCAGAACAACCTGCAGAGCTGTGGGGGTGACATGGTGTGCTGTGGAGTAACGCCAGGTTACACAGTACCAGGGGTAATATCTACCCTGACTTCCCAGCAATTCGGTTCGTCTGAATCTAACGTTGATATTGACTTGCACTCAAATCAAGGCTCGCTTGCTGTAAATACCGCATCAGCCGTTGCGCCCGACTTCTTACGCAGCGGCGACTCTGGCGTATCTCATTTGAATGCTGAGAAGCCTGCCTCTGGAGTCGTCGCCTCTCCAGCCGATCATGGCTCACTGTCTACTCAAGAGTTCTCGTCTCCTAGCAAATCTTCTAATGCTCCTTCACCTTCAGCTGTTTCTGCGGCAGAAAACATTGTTGCACCTCAAGGCTCCTATTCTCTTAATTCTGATGCTCACTCCTCGTTAAGCAATCAACGTCAAAATCATCAAAATTTCGAAACTTTAAATAAAGGTAATGGTTTCTTGGCTTCATCTGGTGTTTCTTCTTCAGTATCTGATAGTAATTTAGCCCATACAGGTCAAGATTTGAACTTACCGTCAAATCAAGGTTCAAATAATCCATCTTTGAATGCATTTCCCTCTTCTCATTCTGCTATAAACAAGCAAGTTCCATCGCATAATGCTGATCATTCTTCCGTCATTAATCTTAGCTCTTTTTCGAATACTGGATCTTTCCTTTCGAATACTGGTGGGCATGTTGCTTCAGCTTCATTTGATTCGAAATCTACTTCTGCTCCTGATGCTCACAGTAGCATCTCCTCGTTCTCTTCGTCTACGTCTCATTCATCTACGCATGCAGAATCTGTTTATGATCAGTCTAGCAAGTCGAATTTTGATATTAGTCAGCCTGGTATTTCCTTGCACCCAACTAAATCAGATGAAACTCACCATGAGGCTGGACTGGATAATTTTGAAGTCGATACCTTCGGCACAGACCTATCATCGTCAGCGATAGCTTCTCAAAAATTTGAAGGCAATTTACAGGTCCCGTTGAATCCTGTTTCCCCCATTCATTCATCAACCGTAGAAGGGGACCATATCTCATTTGATAGCAAAATATCCAATTCTAAGACAAGGTTCCAATCGAAACCAATCCAATCTTCACTAAGCACTCATGCTTCCAGCTCTGATTTAGGAGCATCTTTGCATCATTCTCTGCCTCAAGGCATCAATGAGTATTTACCCCCATACGAACAGACACATACCCTCACATCGGACACCAACACACATGCCAGCTCAACTGATATCACAGATCATTATAAAAACGAAGCCACGCGAGGCGACTTTCCGACAACATTTCCTGAGCCAATCAGTTCTAGTCATGATGAAAAACTGAAGTCTCATGAGAATGGACAATCCCACTCAGGTTCAAGCTCTACTTCTCTGGTTGACACATCTCGACCATTTGAAACTACCGGAGTGAAATTAGATGCAACCGTTGACTATAACAGCCCACTGTCCTCAAACGCCGAAACGCACTCGGTTTCAACAGACATCCACGGACAAAGTGGGTCGAGTATTCATGACAAAGATAAAGCTGCTCACCATGGCTCCGTCGGCCTAACTAAACCTCTGCTCGTTGGTGACTCTTCGCATGATGTCAGTAATATTGTTCCAGGAGTCGATTCAAAACCCTCAACGTTATTCGAAACCAACACAGCAAGTTCAAGTTTTCAGTCACAGTATTCAGGGACAGTAGAACAAAATAATTCGGCTTACTCAAATCAAGATAATTTTGAACACACTGCTCTCGGCACACCGTTACCGAGTGGCATCACTCATGATCAGCTATCAGGATCAAACAATGTACTAACTAGCACAAATGCTGTAACTCCATCACATACAAACACCAATGTCCCAGGGAATATTCCAGTTCTGGAAGGAGGATATTTACCTCCAGTGCGAGACCAACCAACGCAACTAAATAAACCGTCAAAACCGAATTTGTTAGACCAAGATGCATTGATTGGCAGCCTGAATGAAGTTTTTCACCCTGGAGCAGGTAATCGACCTCATTCGGGTGCCTCTTCGCAATCATCCACTCATACACACTCTACATCTACTCTGAACTCCCAGTTTGGAGAAACGTCAGCTGTAAAAGAGTCAAGGCCTATAATATTTAACGAAGATGTCTCTCCATCAGGTGGTGCGTTCGGGAGTGTGGGGTCACAATCCCGCCCTGTTGATAGTGTTGGATCCCACTCAACTTCTTCAAGCGGTCACTTTGCCAATAATCTAGGTCTAGGGGTAGGAAATCAAAAAGTCGACTCTCAAGTTGGTGGAGGATACTCGCAGACTGGAACAGCAGGGAAGCCAGGATCTGTGTTTGATAGTTCCATCCAAGGAGGCATTAGCTCTTCAGGAAGTTTCGGTTCTTTGAGTTCTCCAGGAACAAGTTTACTCAGACCTGGTAAGCCTAGTCCATCAGGAAGCTTCGGAATTCCAAGTTCTGCAGGTGGTTTCCAATCGTCGGGAACAACCGGCGGCAGCTACTCGCCGTCGGGATCTCATGGAAGTCAAGGCTTTTCAGGTGGGAAAGGATCATCAGGAAGCTTCGTATCACCAAATAACTTCGGATCTCCAACTTCATCTGGAAACATTGGTCCTTCAGTAACACAAGGAAGCTCAGGAACTCATCAAAGTAGTTTAGGATCTTCCGGTTCTTTCGGACCAACTGGGTCAACTGGAGGAGGCTACTCACAGCCAGGTTCCCAAAGCAGCCCAGGTTTGTCTGGCAGCTTCGGTTCTTCGCTTTCATCTGGAAGCAACAGATTTTCAGGAGGTAGCCACGCCCAGAAAGGATCATCTGTAAGTTCTGGATCAAGTTTGCCTGGAGGTAGCTACTCACAACCAGGCTCGCTTGGGACCCCAGGGTTTTCCGGAAGCCCCGTATCGGGAGGAAGTTTTCCATCATCACCCGGAAGCTCCGGATCTAATGGAAACTATGGATATCCAAGCTCATCAGGAAGTCCAGGATCACCTGCTAGCCCAGGATCATTTGGAGGCGCTGGATCATCGGGTAGCTTTGCACAACAAGGAAGTTCTGGATTCCCTGGAAGAGTTCCGAGTGGCGGGAGCGGTAGCTACAACCAACCCAGCGGAGGACAGCTAACGGCTGCTGGAAGTGCGCTGAACCCAAGGTAATTAATGCAATTTTATGCGCACCTCTATTGTAACAGTTTCAGAGCCATCCACAGAGCCATCGCTTATTTTTTTGTTTCGAATTATAGAGATTATAATTACTCTTTAATAATAACTAAAAAATCTGAAAGATTTTCTCACATTGTGTGGTGCTTCATTCTAGCATGGCCGGCATGATGGCTGGGATGATGGGCATGGGAGGGACTCCTCTCCTCGCCGGAAGCTGCAGTGCTGGAACTTTCTGTGTTCCTCGGTTCCAATGCAACCCATTCAACGGCTTCATCATCATGGACCCTGCCCAACTGCAAGCAGTGTGGCCCGACGCGCCTCAAGTTCCATTACTGGTAACTGGCTTTCGTTGGATATTTATTACTTAACATTTTTAACGTTAAGGCTGGTGAAGAGACTGCAGCTTATTGTTACACTAATCACCAATTATGTGTTTGTTTTCTACTTTAATACGTATTTTATAAATTAATCTTTTTCAAAAAAACAATGATTTTGGTATGAAAAGTTTTAAACCCTCGCACTCTCTTTAATTGTTATCTGAATACTTTGTTAATATCGGGAAATTAAGGCTTAACAATGTATTGATAAACTTTTTTGCCCAGGATTGCATCATCCCAGCTGGAGTTTTGGACGGAGGTGTCTGCTGCCAACAGATGCATCCAATTATCGGCCCCAACGGACAAGTTCTTGACTAAATGCCTCGTAATTCAAGAATTCAACAGCGGTATAGCTTTAGTTCTTCTGACCACCATTCGACCAATCGATTTCTACTAAAACATTATTACATTTTTAGCTTTAATTATTTTTTTAATGATAATAAAATGATTAGGTGCAATTCTGAGCGGTTGTCGTACCTATTTATGTTAGCAGGTAAATAAATTAAACGGAATAAGGTATTTATTTATAATTTACACAAGCTGGTTATAAGAATATATTAGATCATTCATTCCTTATCTCTCGTCAATGTGAAGATTAAAGTCTGTAATATTTCGGTACGTCGAGTTAATTTGGCATTAAATAAATACTTAATCTCTTATCAAATGCAATAACTAACCCTTAATAGTAAAAAAAAATTTTCAACGTCTAATACAGAATGAATTCTAGTTAATGAAATACTCTTTCTCGGCGATCCAAATAAACTAGCCGTGAGTTACAGCAAAACCCATTAGAAACGGGCAGTTAAACTGGCATAATTATACGCCTAATGAGATAATAATTAGGATGTAATGAGATAATAACTAGAACTTAATGAGATAATAACTTGGAAGTTGATTCTTCTTGTATAGATGACCATTACTCTACGTCAAACGTAAAGTAACTGAAATAGTTTTTCTCGAGAATCTAATGTACATAGCGATGTACAATAAAAATGCTCAATAAAATTAGGCATCTGGTATTTAGGGTTATTTGACATGAATAATTAAGCACCTTCGTCTGAGATTCCACCGGCACACAGAATAAATGTGATCTATCACTGATGTGTTGTACCTTTAAAATCTCTATAGTCGATACAAGCCATACACGAGTTAAAACAATTTTTCAACGTTAGTCGCTTAGTGAATCAAAGTATTGGACAACGCAATGTTAAAGCTCAACTCTAAATTCCGTGGTTATACTTTTTGAATGTTTACTTGATTTTGGCTTGACGATTGCGCTTTTTTCACGACTCTTACAGAGGCAGTTATCATTGGACGTCCAAAAACTTCGAAGCTTCAGAGCTTGAATGCGAATTCATTTCAAGGCTTTTCCATATAGCTGCTATTGTTGTCATGGAGACAAAGAGAATCGTTGGCAAAAATAACTTCCACTCTCACCAAACTCGACAAGTTTGCTGATTTTCATTTTCGGATTTACTGAAAAGGGGAAATAAATTCAAATAATTAATAAGTCATTTCAAGTTGAATTAAAATCCAAAATAAGAATGAAACAAGAGAAAATATCTCGTAGAAAAATGTTAAAATAAAAAAAAATAAAAAATTTTTATCTCGCAGTTATTCGCTACTTTTGAGGAGGTGAGTAACACAGCCCTCGCGAGAAATCGACTTAGTATGGGCAATGTTTTTCACAAAAGGATGATATTTATATCAAGAACCAACAGGCAAGTTTTGAATGGAAATAAAGCAGAAATAATTTTTTGAAATACGGCAATTGGAATTATACTATGTTTTCTTCCAAAATACGACCAAACATTTGAGAAAATATCCTAATTAGAGCATCGAAGAGTAACAAAAAACCCTGAGTTACCTAGGGCAGTTGAAGGCATCCCTCATCTGCTGGGTGTTGTGAAAGGTTCCCTTCACCCTCATGGGTCCCGGGGCATGAGGTCCTACCAAGATGGCCCCTTTCAGCCCTTGAAGGGTGAAGCTTGTGCACCACATCTGTACTCAGCAGCATATGAAATTCGTTTTTAGTAAATACTGAGGATCTACTTCATCTTGAATGTCAAATTAAAAATTAGACCCAATATAGCTAGCTCATATATGATACGCATTAATTTAATTAATTTCATATGCTGTATCCAGCATTTACGAATGTTAGTTGAATAATGAAGATGAATTGATAATAAAAAATTCTGGATATTTACCCTCAATCAAATCCTATTAGTTTGCAATTTTTTAAAAATTATATCAATCCAAGAACTGAAACAAGAGTTAACAACCATCGCATTAATGGCGACAATTGTTTCAGCATTTATCGTGCAACCCATGTTCTTCCTTCTGTTCGAGTACAATAATCATCGAGTGCCGCAGCTTCTACTACGCGACCCCTGGTCTGTCTCCTGTATGTCCACATTAATCACCGAGTGCCGCAGCTTCAACCAATCTACCACCCGCCCCTGGTCTGTCTCCTGTATAAGCACATTAATCATCGAGTGCCGCAGCTTCTACCACCCAACCCCTGGTCTGTCTCCTGTATGTCCACATTAATCATTGAGTGCCGCATCTTCTACCACCCGACCACTGGTCTGTCTCCTGTATGTCCACATTAATCATTGAGTGCCGCATCTTCTACCTGGCCGAAGCTGATGAAGAAGAGCTGCTCGTTGCTGTACTCCTCCAGCCCCGGTAGTTTGTAGTACTCACGAGTCAAGGCAACGCGCCTCTGGTAAGCTTTGTATGCGGCCTGGATGCCTGGATATAACAATTAACACTCGGTCACCAACTCGCCAGTGCATTAGGACGGAGAACGCTGTTTTATCTCATAAATTATTCACGGAAAAATTATTCAACGATTTTATAGCTATGACGACATCCTTTAACATACTCGTCTGCTATTTGTAAAAGTTTACTTAACTTCAACAAGCTTTATACAGAAAATTTTATACAGATAATATATGGATGATTTAGGGATATTTTAATATTGTACTCTATCAATATATTATGTGTTGAACAATTTCCAAATATTGCGACTTGTACAATAAATTGTACAATATTTCTTCAAACCAAACACCCACCCCCGTTGTCAGCAATATTCTCCCCAAGCGTAGCGTTGCCGTCTACCTTATAGCCCATCAAAGCAATCTCTTCGCCCTGAAGGTCAGTTTCCAGTGGGTACTGACTGTACTGATCAGAGAAACACTTGGCTTTTGCCGAGTAGGTTTTGAGCGAAGATTCAGACCACCATGGCCGCAGGTTGCCTTGAGCATCGACTTCTTTGCCTGGGGAACGTCATCAGAAAAGTATCGTATAAATCAACGGATAACCTGAACACTAAGATAAGATTCAACTAATAGAAAAATTTTACAATGTAATCATTACTGGTATTAGAACAACAAAGCTTTATTTGTCTTGATCAACATTAGAGAAACAATATTTGAGAGTACTGGTGATGGAGTCACTATTTACTGACCAAAATGAATCACCTCATAAGATACAATTCTAAAATGTACTCTTTAAATTGCATTTATTATCCGTACAATGAAAAATTACATACATAAAAGAATTCTACGCACTTTGTAAGCCAGTGTAATATAGATGCAAATATAATAAAATTATTATAAAAACATAAATTAAAAACTCCCTTCCCGATAGTAACGCACTCACTAATCCTGATAATAAACCCATTTAGATTAATTTACTTACCTACACAATACTTGGCTCATATAAATTATTAATTAATCACACAATATTAAGCTCTCTTAAATTATTAATTAAATTAATTATACAATAATATATATTTAAAAATTACTTTTTAAAGACAACACTTCTGAACAATCCAGTGTCTTGGATGTTACACATTTACAATGAATTTCTAATTCTATTTTCAAATATTAAAAACAATTATTTTTCAAAAATTTTTTATGCTATCAAAATTTTGTAAATTTTCAAAATTATTTATTCTGTCAATTAATTCATGCATTGTCTCTGACTTTATGCAATTGTGCAAAATTTCAGATCAATTGGACAGGTCAAATTGTGTCATATATGGATTATAAGATTTGTAGCAGACGAAATTATATTTCAATTTTTTAATAGTGAAAACAATTTTTAATTTATAAAATTATTTATTCTGTCAATTGATTCATGCATTGTCTCCAACTTTATGCAAGTGTGCAAAATTTCATATAGATAGGATAAGTAGAAGTGAGTTAAATTTTGATTATAAGATTTGTAGCAGACAGACAGACAGACAGACAAACAAGAATTGAAGTTAAAGAGAAGTGTTGTAATATTAGCTCACCCGAATTATCGAATCCATGGGACACTTCGTGCCCGATGACAACACCAATTGCTCCGTAGTTCAGGGCTCTACCGTTATTTAGATTCAAGAAAATTAATGAACCATTTTTTGAAAATAGATTTCCAATTTAATAATTTGCCGTAATATGGTTTGAAGTTATTTAGCAACATTCTGAGATGGACAAAATATCATATATAGTTGTCATTTCAATGAACCTCGATTTTTTATTGTCCCCACGTTCCGTTAAAATCTATAATCAAGATCATTTTATATTATAATTGCAAGTTAACTATTATGATTATCAAAAATTAATTTACTTATAAAACATTGCTTACGTGAACGTATTTCTTCGATAAAACGGCGGCTGAAGAATTCCGGCAGGGATAACTGGAATAAAATCGAATTTTTTGTAAATAAAAATATTTAGCAGACATTCTAAGGAAAAGATTTACATATTAATCTGCTTCGTTAATTTTCGCTCAGTAATTTAGCTTATATTTCTCAGTAAACTAAAATTAATTACTCTTTCCTGCCAAACATCGACGAAAAAAGTCTATATGGAACAGCTTAACGCAGGCACCACGTTTTCCATGTACATAACGTATGGATTTTTTTGCACATTTTATGCTTTGAAAAAATTTTGTTCGCGAAATAAAACAGTCATGCTCGATTAATTAAGATTTGACTCCGAGGTTGTCAAGAAAAGCTCGCATCGTAAATAAAAGATTAAATGGTTTATCCGTCAGAAAATATTTTATTCATGAGTAAATCTACTCACTCATGGCATTCTGGCCAAAACTGTAGGCTGCGTTGATGGCTACAGGACTCATGCCGAAACTGAGAACACACGTAAGGCTTTAATTAACGATATTGACTACACCAAGTAAAATTTATTAAGGAATAATTAATAATTCATTTATTAACGAATTACCGAGAATTCTGTTGACACGTTTGTAAAAATAATTATTTAACGCAATTGAAAGTAAAACTGAAAATTTGTGTCAATTTCACTTCATTTAATTTAGCCTCAAAATACAAATTTCGAAGGCTCTTCGCAAGTGAAAGCAAATTGAAAAATCAAGGTGTATCATTGACAGAATTTTTTGCACTAACTCACTGAACAAACTAATTTTCGTAGTTAAAATTATATTAATATGATCCCCTGACTCAATAAGTATGAATTTTCCCTTCATTACTACGGCATTATACTTAAATGTGCGGTGAAACTGACGCCCATGGTTAAATTAATACATTGTATTACATTTTACATTAATACATTACATTAATTCATTGTATTAATTCAACCATGCTCACGCCTCTCTGCTGGGACTGTCCCTGAGGTAAGCCAGGGACCCGACGCTCAGATAGCGGGCGATCATCAGGATGTTCTCGAAGTGATTGTCTCCGAAGTCGGGCAACTGTGGGAAGAACCAGAATTATTTTAGATTGAAAAGTATCAGTTTTAAATCTAAATTGTGTGTACTTCGTGATGCAAGCTGTGAAGTTAAAAACTCAGGTCTCTACTGTAATTTTCTAAAAATAAAATTAGCAAAAGTGTTTCACATACAGCTAATTTATTTGGTCGATATTTTTTTTATTTATTTTTGATATTTTGTATTTTATTTTTTTTTGCACTGTCGGAGAAATAACTCGGGATACTAACGTCTTTGTACAGCTCGATCAGCGCCGTGACGTTGGTTGTGTTCTTGCCGGAGCCCACAAGTTGAACCATATCGTCGACTTTCCGGAGTCCGTCTTTTTTAGTCTCATCATCCATCCAAGTGTTGTCCTTGAGCAAAGACCTGAACGCGTCGTGGACATCTGACATCATCTCTGCCGCCTGCCGAAAGTTCATTATGCACGGTTTCAAGAAAAACATATCTTCAACAGTAGGAAAAATAATTTTCAATATCTCTTGTCACAATATAAATAGGAAATATCTAAAAATTGGAAGTTCAAATGCATAAACGATTTCGAATCCAACGAAATAAATCGGGGAAAATTCCCCAAAATCGCCCCATCATCACATTATTGAATTTTGACGACGATCTCAAGGGCTTTCCAGCTACGAAATAAAGAAGGGATAAAGTATCATAATTTGCTGGACTAGAGAAATAATGTCTCGCCTTTTCTCTCGTGGCGGGCAAGAAATATTGCTTCAAGTAGAGGTATGAGACGGCCTCTGTGATGAGAGAGTTGGCTTTAGAGGCGCAGTCGTACCACCTGTAAAACAATCCGACCTTCTTCAATTATATTATCAATTTATTGGTACTTAAAAATAACTCAAGCCACCCAGTTCAAAAACGTTCTATCTTGAATTCACTTCTCGTCTGGAACCGTCGAATAATCTGAGCAAATGTTTAATAAAATTTTCTTTTATAGGCAGGAGGGAAAAAATAAATTAGAGAAATAGATATTTTGTTCAAGACTGCGTTTTTATATAATTTTCACAGCGGAAAAATAGGTATGCTTGCACTTAATTAAGCTTAATCAGAAATTAAAGACTATATTAACTTCTGATACTTACGGCCTTATTTCTTGCCTTCCAATATGCCTGCCCAAGATTAAAACAATTTGTCAGAGATTTAAAAAATATGAAAAATATATTAATATGATGTTCAGAAATAATGTTACTACACCGAATTTCATGTACATAATTTCAATGTGTATATTTATGCCTGCCAATCATTCTAAATTGTTTAATAAAACAAATACAATGCTAATTGCTATAGACATTTGAACAAAGGGTGTAACTTGGATTATGCAGCATCATAGAATACATACATTTGACTCATCCAAATGAATTTAGAAAAAAGTCATTCAACCGCCAAACATAAATTTATCTTCGTATAAAAAATTATCACCATTATTGTTTTGCTTGGAAAACAGTTTCCGCATGCCGTGTCAGTCCATCAACAAATAACCGAAAAATTATTTACTATCACACTCTCTGTCAGTGGCTTTATCTTAATTTAGTGGCTTATTCTTAATTTATCCTTACTTTTGTTAAGGAGGATTTAAGGTCTTAGGTCTCACCGAGTCCTAGAGTTCCTCTGAGACACTGGGAAGGATGAATGGATTGCTCCCTGGAAGCCAGCGTCCGACTCCTCGCCCAGGTTCAGCGCCAGCATGTAGCTCAGGAAGTTCGCTGAGGGTTAACAAAAAGCTAAAAAAAAGTCATGAATGCCTTTGATTCGCATTTGATGTATTTAAAATTACATTTTTCCTACAGGAGGTTTACATCAATTATTGTTTCAAATAATTTATTTACGGCACATAATTTTCATTTTGCGCTTTGTGGAGGATATGGTAATCTAATCTCATGCGTAATCTAATAAACAATTTAATATGATAGAGTGACTAAATTTATTATAGGTCAAAGTTTTACCCAAAGTGTTTGTAATTAATGTCTCAATTTGACATTAATTACAATATAACCAGTGAACAATCTATTCTAACGATATCGAGTAAATATATTTTTTAGTTGCATTTTCAATTCCTGCTCACGCGAATACAGGTAAGTAAGATTAAAAGAATGCAATGAAAACATAATTAATGCTAGCCTATCGTAGTGTCAAGATTTAGTGACTATATGGAGGCTTTTTTTACTTATTGAAACTTGAATACTGGAACCGATTTTTCCACTTAAATTTTTAGTTTCTTTTGCACTTTGCCAAGTGAAAATAATTAATTTTACTAGTTATCAAGTAAATTAACCAACAAACCTTATTAGGTATGAGCTTCCACCATGCAATCCGTTGTGTTGCACATTCTTGCTCCTATAACGCGTTTTGCAATCTCTCGTCATACCCTCGTTTTGTGTTCTGTATTTTTTTAATTTTTTCCATTTTTTATTCATTTTTTCATTTTTTTTGCTATTCATTTTTTCATTTTTCTACCATTTTTCATAATCTCTGTCTCTCTCATCCGCGTGTTATTAGCCTATACAAATTAATTTCTTGATTTACACGCTTACACCCAGGCGTGTTTTATAAGCTCCTAAAGTTCCCGTGTTTCATAATATTTCGTCCATCTTCCGTTTTATAATATCTCACATATTTCATGTTTTATTCACTGTCATTAATCACGGGTTTTATTCTTTCTCTCCCATCCACTGTCTTATAATCTCTAACTAATCCCGTGCTTTAATTATAATCTCTCACTTATCCCGTGATTTATAATCTCTATCTATTCCCGTGCTTTAATTATAAACTTTCCCTTATCCCGTGCTTTATAATCTCTATCTATTCCCGTGCTTTAATTATAAACTTTCCCTTATCCCGTGCTCTATAATCTCTAACTAATCCCGTGCTTTAATTATAATCTCTCACTTATCCCATGCTTTATAATCTCACCGATCACATGCTTAGGAGTCACTTTTATGAGCTTCAAGACGCCATAGATGTAGTCAGGATTAGTGACGATTATCCTCTCCTTGGCGGTCACTGTGATGTTGGCAACTCCGAATATCTTATTGAAGAGCGACAGCCAGTTAACCTTGAAAGAAATTACGAGAAAGTTGAAGTATTTCTTCACTAACTTCCCACAAGCCGATCAGGAGCCGTACTTCCATAACTCGCTTAATGACACGTGAAATTTAAGTACACGTAGCGTTTGATTCCTCGCCTGCGATTGGTGGCATTAACTTGAAAAACCGTCAGTGATTGGCTGACGTAGTCAAAAATTTTCAGCTATTTCAAAAGCTTCAATATTCTAGGCAAAATATTTTTTCTTTACGGCATCAAGAATTGCATTGAGATACAAATGCAGTGGCCCCTGGCATAGAATGAAAAAAATCTACGGTAATTGATACCATTTTTTAGTTACCTCTTTTCTTTTTAGAGTTTCTGAGTGCTCGATGAAACTATAATGTTTTTTAATGATCATCAGCTGAATCATTGCTACAATATTTATTATAATTATCAGTATGTTAATTGAGATAAGACTTCACTCAGTCAATTTTTTAATAGCAGAATATGATTATGATGATAGATATATTATTACACAACTTCTTATAGACTGTTATACTTTTAATTTTAATATTTTCTCAATTTCTGAAATAGCGAACATAATTGATTATCCTAATGCCCAACTCAAAGAGATTACCTTGGCAGCTGAGTTGCCCATCGCATCAGTTTTCCTCTGAAGTTCCTCAATGGTCATGGGGTTGTACTGTGCGTACAGATCGTTGAGGTCCGCTCCTCCTTTGGTTAACTGAAATTTTATAAATATTTTAATTACATTTCTGACATGCATCAACATAAAACAATGTTTGGGACGTTTGTTCTTAGGAATGAAGTTGCTCATCGTTAGCGATCTCATTTAAATTACTTGCACTTGAAGAATATAGTGAACATGATACTAAGCGAATAGTCTCAATAAAGAAAACACAAAACGCGTGTTAATCGCTGCAAGAAGACTAACCTTTGCCAGTTTGTAGATGAAGTCATAAAGTGCAGTAATGTTGTCACTCTGCATTTCTTGAGCTCTCGCTTGTGTAGCTGCACTCGCACTTTGTTCTTCATCCCTAGCAACGGGTGGCAGTTTCACTCTGCTAATATCAGTGGCTATTCCGTCCAGAGTAATGATGGCTCCACTGCGCTCCACTTGCATCTTTTTATTGTGTTTTGACGTCTCGAGGAAGAGCTTGAGAACTTCATCTTCCTCGTCTTGCATTTCACGCGGGTTCATTTTTCTTGAGTTTGGAGACGTGGTAGTGACAGGCTCGGTTGATAATGGCAGCTCCGTCTGAACAGGAGCGCTCGTTGTTATTGTTGTGGAATTATTTGAATTGATATCAGAGACGTTTAGTAACACCGGCTCCACGGAACTCTGGTTGAGTCCTGCAGTGCCAGGCATGGCGTTGCCTAATGTGTTAGCTAACGAAAATATTCGTTGTAGTTCCATGTTTCGGTATCGAGTCTCGTTCGATAAAATATATTCCCGAGGCGAAGGTAGGTAGCCTTCTCCCAACTGACGTAGACAACAGGAAACGAATTGGCGTCAAGTGAACAATTAATGTAAAGAGTCAGAATCAATCTTAACTGTAATTTTTCAACTGAAACTTCAGTTTTGTTGCTCCCAAGTTCACAAGTAAGGGAGCCATATTTTCGGCTCTATTGGAATATATAAAATATAATCGTCACCTTCTGCTATATTCGATTTAAGAAATTTCCAGAATAAACCATTTATCGAATCATTTATGAAATACAATAAACTCTCAAGTTATCTAGAATTTAACCACAATGAATATTAGAAACTAAGAAACTTCAAAACAATATATCAATAATAAAAATAATTCATTACATGAATGACATTGTTGGAGCTGTTCTTTGAGTCGTACGACACCCCAATGCTGAGGATGTAGTCGGCAGCGTACAACACTCTGGTAAGAATAACACTGTCCAGCCAGTCGAACGAGTCAGGTGACCACGACGAGTTGATCAGAGGGAAGCCGCCAGCTTTGCCCAGTTCGTATAAGAGAGGCTCTACCCCAGTAATCTCCCATGCCGCTATAGATATCAAATTAACAAAATTGCAATCTTAAACTTTTTCAAATATGAAATGAAAGCAAATGATAACAAAATTCCAAGCAGTTTTGATATCAATTCGATTCGAGCTCAATAAAAAACATTTAAAACTGGTCATGAAAGATTTAATTTCAGGTTGGTTATTAAATAGTTTCAATCGGAAATTAATTATCATAAAGCTTTTCTTAGAATTTTACTTAACTTTTTCATTGTTTAATATAAAATTAGTTTAGAATAAAATAAAAATACACTTACTTTCATTGGCGCAAGCTCTGTAGAAATTTTTAGTTTTAGTCACGAATTCAGGTTCTTCTACCGTTGATTCTGCTTCCAAAAGTTCTGTAGGTGAGCAATCAGCAATAAAACATAAATTCAAAACAAGAAACTTTGCATTATTCCTCAAATTTAAACCAATGTGGCAGGGTCTCCTGCAGGTGTTATAGAATTATTTGTAATAAATGTGATGATGATGTCGATACAACACGTCATATTTCCTTATGGAATCTATCAGGTTTGTTCGACGAAAATTGATCCCAAATTAAAACAAAGATTATCCCTCAGGTTTTAAATTTTAAATTTTTTTTTTTCAATAAAATTTATCGTAAAAACAAAGACATTGAACAAAAGTCGGAGGTGTAATAAAAGGATTTATTTTATTTTCATGATTTTAAACTAAGTTTAATTCATAAGTAAATATTTTTATCTTCGGTCTCGAATCTATAATGAAAGCAATCTGGTAAATTTTTCCGTTTAAAATGAAATTTCAATCATCGCTCGGTTGAGATGTCGTCGCCTTTACTTGATTGCTGATCCCTAAGGTACAAAATTTGTAAACACTTTTACACAAAATTATACATTAGGCACCGAAAGTGACGAGATAGTTCACGAAACTTAAGCTCAGAAAGTTTTTTTTGTCATCGATCATCAAATATTCGTTAAAATTTAATAATAGTTTACATAAAAAGAATGAGACCAAGAACACTGCCATCTGATAATTCCGGAAAACTAAATAACGAGCATAAAATCTTCATGGAATTAAAATAGTTTGAAATATGGAATTGTCATTTCTACTTGACCGTTAGCTTGTGGGCAATAGTTAGGATCCCTGGAAACCGTGTCTTGTTATCAACTCATTATAACATATTTCTGTGTTATCGCTCATATATTACAACAAAGACATGACAAACTATGAACCAAATGGATAAAAACTGTAAGACTGTTCAATAACCGCTTACATGATAAATGCATTTGATTACGCTATTTGTCATGACCTTTTTGAATTTGACCTTTTGAAATGAGACAAATATCAAGAAGCTCATTGTAGTCCGAGATAAAAAATACAGTGCAGCTCATGTACAATCTTACATATGTATATGATGTGTATGGCTTCGTTAATGAGACAACATTTCACAGCATGGAAAGAGGCATTACAGCCTCATTAACCATTCTCGGTACTTATGCGACAGCATCACTTGCAACAATTTTAAGAACTTTTCGGCAGCAGAGTTAATTTTAAATGAGTTCAGCAATACGAAACTGATAATTACAGCATCATTGCTGCATTAACCCAGTTCATAGAAAACAAATGTACATAAAAAATCTTTAAGAGAGAAGTATGTTTTAGCAGCGTTGATTTGGACTGTGCCCCACAACGTCGAAATGATGGTTACAGCAGAATCCAAATTTCACTCAATTCATAAACGACAAATTAACGCGTAAAACCTTTAATGGAGAAGTACGTGGTGGCAGCGTTGATTTGGACTGTGCACCACAACGTCGAACTGATAGTTTCATCATTCCAAAATTCCCTCAGTTCCAATACGATATAATTAACACATAAAACCTTTAATGGAGAAGTAGGTGGTGGCAGCGTTGATGGAGAAGGAGTCCCACCCCATGGAGCCTGCAGGCACAGGATTGTGTCTCTTCCACCCGCCACACGCGAACTCGTAGAAGTCGTCGCACGGGTCCACGCTGCGGTCCATCGCTGTGATCATCTCGCCAGCTGACATTAACAATTGGTACGTGAGTTTACAAGGATAAACACATGTCGATGAGAATATTAAACAATTTCACCAGTATAAGTAATAATAACGTTTGAAATATCCTTGTGGTATTGCGTGTTAGAAAGGGAGAAATTTTTTATTTGGCAAATGACAATGGCTGAAAAGCAAAATAAAAAATCAGGGGACATACTAGTTAACTCTGCGCTCATTTCGGCTTTCAGTTGATTATATTGTAATTACACTGTCATTTATGACCTGATCAATAGCCTACAATGTTCGTTATAGTTTTTATAATAATATTCTCAGGTTTTCGACTTGCTAATACACGTCCGTCACGCTTAAATCGACCTTCTCTTATTCTTCATGCTGCGTTCCAACCTTATGACAAAACAAAGTGGACCCACACAATATATAACATGAGTGATAAAATCCTTGTTATCAGGACTTACCCGCAACAACACACTCGGGTGTGTAGCAGATCCGGCGGTTGTTCAAGACTGCAAACAGAACACGTAAGCAAAGTAAGAAATCGTCGGATTATGATTACTCATCATGGATGAAATCATCCATGATTTTGTTAATAAGTGATCAAAAATTTAGACGTGCAGGATTGCTTCTAACCTGTACAACTTTAAACTTGAGTAATTTAATAATGTTTTAAATGTGTTTGCTATTTTTTGGACATTATTGACTGCCATCGTATCCGCCACAGCATCGATCAATTCGCTAAAGTTTCATTGAAAAAACAGCAATAAAGGCGCATGATAAAAAAATTGTACTTAAAGCACTAACTTTATTTAAATTTACTAATGCTTTAAACAGATTTCTTTATAGTTAGAGAGCAAAGCAGTAATTGGATTTGATTCAAAATGCGTTTTGAAAAAGAAGATAAGAGGTTTTGGTTGAAATACGAACACCTTTAGCATTTTGTTTAATATGTTACGAAATTAATAATTATTTTCAGGTTTATGATAACAATTTCATTTAATTTCAAAACTATTTCAATAAATCTTACCACTGGTCATTAGCAGCACGAAGCCTACGATGAGGCCAGCTAAGATGGTCAGCAAGCCGATGGCCATCAGGATCAGGCCCTGGTTGTTGCTGAAGCCGAGGCATGAAAAAGGGTAGCAGCAACCACCGCATCTGCATGGGACGGAATAAATACGCTTGTAATATTTCCCGCTTCATTGTTCTCTTTATGTTCGTGGTGTTAATATTTTTTTGCGTTTGGGCAATGATATTTTTTTAGTTTAATGCAAGTGTGCACTTATTAAACACCATTGAGAGTTAAAAACTGCATATTTCGTTTTGAATGCATTAATTCCTTGTGTATACTGTTGAGCTATTTCAACAACAAATGCCATTTATCTGTTGATAGCTCTGCTATTATACTTTAAGAGTTTCATGCCATAGGACTAACAACAGTTGATAATTTACATCAGCTTTAGATATTCAATGTTAATTCATAATTTTCCTGACAGAACCAACGAGCAGATGACATAAGAACGGTACTGACACGCCATGGTCCGGGTTACAGCACTTCTGCAGGTCATGATTTGTAAGAATCAGCTTAGATTAATAATTTTCCTGACATAATCAAGGAGCAGAAGACATAAGAACGGTACTGCCATGCCATAATCCGGGTTACAGCACTTCTGCAGGTCATGATTTGTAAGAATCAGCTTTAATTAATAATTTTCCTGACAGAATCAAGTAGCAGATGACATAAGAACGGTACTGACATGCCATAGTCCGGGTTACAACACTTCTCCCTCTTAACGTTGTCGTCGGCCGAGGTGACGCTTGAGGCTCCGTCGTCGCCCCAGGCATCCGTGCCCGCATTCATGTTGCTCAGAGTTGACGACCGACGTCGCTTGTCTCGCTGAAGAGAAAATATGAAGAAAAACCAAAGATCTAATTTTAAATTCAGAGATGACATTAGATTTTTGGATATGGATTAGTGCAATTAAACATGGAAATCAAGTTTGGGGTGATGTAAGGGAATCAAGAAGAAAAATTAGTATTTTACTTTAACGAATTTATAGTGTTGCCATCAAGATGAAAGTGCGCGACATTGTTAAATGATTTTCGTATTAGACTTTCATTGCCAAGTACGATTTTATTCGCAAAAACTGCTTTATATAATTCCTGTGACGATGATAGTCAAATAGTTTCATCAATAATTTGTTCTAGTTTTGTCCTCGCAACACGGGCTGAGTGACAGAAATAAATTTCATGTAAACTGTCAACTCTAGAATCGTCTTCAATATGTTTTCAAAAGATATATGTAACACATAATCTTATGGATGCTATGTTAGAAAAACATAAATTTATCCAGGGACCACGAAACTAAAATCCGCGATGACTGAGAAGATTTGGCATTCTTTGAATGGCCACGTACCATTTATAAATTTTAAATTTTATAAATTTTAAGCAATGACTAAATATGAATAACGTTTCTTATGTTTACATATTAAAAAATGTCACGAGAAACTCTCATTTAAGTCTGCTATAAATTAATGATACTCATGATTACTTTGCTCCTGTAAGAGAAGGGGTCGTCTTCAGCGCCGGGACCCAAGTAGCCGCCATCGATCGTCTTGACGTTGAGTGCTCCACTGTAACATTATAATATCATAATAAAACATCATATATTAGATTAATCCAATTGTTATTATTTCATTTTATTAATTGAACGCCAATTTTTGCAAATGTTGCGGTAGCAATATTTCTCATGCACGTATTTCTCGGATTAAATCATCGAAGTCATTCGGGAAAAAATAATTATTTTCGCGAATATAATTCTAAAGTATATGAATTCAACTCACGTCCTTGGCAGCTCCTCCACTCTGGTCTCCTGGGTATCCCGTTTTTTAAACATTTTACTAATAATATATTACTATCAGATAATCTATTATTTATCATAAATATTAGGAAACCAAGTGTAATATGCTACCTATTTACTGCTGCAACATTAATTTTCAAACGCAATCTCTACATTCGTAAATAAAATATACTTTAAATCCATTAGAAAATATATTTTAGAATATATTCAAAAATATTTATTCTCTGTCTATTTGTAGGTACTCCTAGGAAGGATTATGAATATTAATTAATAACTGCTAATCAACTGTCATAAATATGTGAAATCAAGTGATTTTTATTCATTTTACAATAAGTTGTATCTGTATTCAACTTAACGCAGATCAGTGCAAACTGTTGTTAGGATGCGTCATGCATATCACATTCACTTTTTAATGCCCGCATGAAATGAAAAGTTTATCAAGCAATTTATTTTCAGAAGGAAAATTGTACCTCTGAGCTGCAGTAAAATTTTAGTTGCATAGCAACATTATAGAATAGTTACCATGAAATGTTTTAATATGATGACATATATGTTTCTTACCCGTCGTTCAATGCACGATAAATATATTATTGGTAGATTAAAATAACCCTGCTTTGGCATTGCCACTTATTTACGGAAATTTAGGTTAAGTTGAGTATCAACAAAGTAATTATTCATTGAATTGATTATCTAAAATTGTTAGCCTAGCACACGAAAGCTCGCAAGTTGCAAGGCTATAGCCTGGAGCAGGGGCTCAATAAGGCACTGCATAAGCAAGGCGCAGCCACCGTATCAGCTCGCATGCATGCATGGATATAGCCAAGCAAGCGAGCTGAATGAACCTGACTCATGTTATATCACTGAGTCAAGGTTCTATATTTACGATACCAACTGCCTAGATTCAAATTTGGACCACGTTTTTCTTATTTCAGATATTTTCGCGAATTATTTATGTGCTTGCTGTTCTATCATCAACATGAGCTTTTCTTTCATAAGTCATGTATTTGATGCATAGAAATTCATGGCTACGTGAGTAGCGTGTTTACGGTAGAGTAAAAAGCAGGGAATAAAGTCTAAAAATTTGTAACGACACTGCTATGTCCCAGAAATCTGCACCTGTTATGATGCAAGCCATTTAATTTCTTAATAATCCTAAACTTGAACCAAGAAAGAGATCGAAAGAAGAATTAAAAATATCATTAAGACAATAAGACGCCATTTTAATTAAGACGCCACCGCGTCTTAATTAAAATTAATTTAACCGCATTTTAATTAAGACGCCAATGGGTGCCCGGTCATGCGGTTTGCTTGAAGCATATTATTCAACAGAGTTCACTTCTAAAGCCACGTGTCTCGACCCTGGGAATGCCTTACCAAGTCGGGAACTCTGTAATAACCTTGGATATCTCACTTTGTTCACTGTATCTGATAAGCAACAGGACATGCACACCACATTTCCTGGCTTCCTGGAATTACAGCTGGGTAATCGATGAAGGACGTTCTGCATCAGAAACCAAGTTCAAGGTGCTGGAGAACGCCCAATGTTTGGGCTTGCGCATGCATCATCGAACATCGAACGCCATTCAATGGGCAGTTTGTCAGCGGTGGCCAGCTTCGGGCACACAATGAACACTTCGATTCGCACATTACACGACACAGGCTCTTTTCATCATGATAAATTCATAGTTTCATTTGTGTGTGAAAGAATTATGCTTGACAGGCGCTCCCTGTGAAAGTCAAAAAAGAAGAAAAGCGCTTTTAATACCTGAATGATGATTATTTTTAAAGATTGTCCTTGCTTGACGTAAATATGTTTCTCAACCCCTAATAGAGCGAAAACCGCCATAGTATTCAAAATTACTTACCTTCATTCAAACCAGCGTACGAACTAGTACAACTTTCTCATCTGCTCTGGTTTGAAACAGCTGCACTAGCGCAAATAAAATTCTGTTTAATGTTTTATTATCAGGATATCAACCAAAATTCAGTGGCATCTATCGTCAAGGCAAATAGCATCGAACGATGAGAGAATTTAATTCTTCACCACTACGGAACATATTGTTTAGTACGCCTTGCTTCACGCCTTCTAACAAAAATTAGTCGTTCATGATTTCATATATAAAATAAAGGGAAGTTATTTTCCAAATTACTGCGCCCAGGGAACCAAAAACTGGAAGGAACATCGCGCACGTGAGAGTATACCCCGTGAGACAGGCACGCTAAATTATTATAGTTCAGATCTATAGTTATGAATTCCAACATATCAGTAGAATGAATGCGATGAATGTCAAAAAAGCTTAGAGAGGTTCCATAAATTAGACGTGGGCCTGAATAAAGCACATTATTAAAAGAATGAACGTGAAGGCAGGTACTTAGGTGTTACTATATAGTTTATGTGCAGAGTATTGAATGAAGGAACTTTCTCAATAAGATATACAGCATTAGGGTTCGTGAAATAATTTTTTGAACAATATGTTTAGCATCAGGGTCTGTGAAAGAAGTTTCTGAATAAGATGTACAGCATCAGGGTTTGTGAAAGAATTTTTTCAATAAGATGTACAGCATTAGGTTTTGTGAAAGAAGTTCTGAATAAGATGTACAGCATTAGAGTTTGTGAAAGAATTTTATCAATAAGATGTACAGTATTAGGGTTTGTGAAGGAATTTTTGAGCAAGACGTACAACATTAGGGTTCGTGAAATAATTTTCTGAATAAGATGTGCAGCATTATGGTTTGTGAAAGAATTTTCTCAATAAGATGTACATCATATTGTTTTTTTTACAAGAAGACATGAAGAGCGTGATGCAGACACTTTGTTTGTACAATTGAACTGCCATTAGTGAGTTGTAACTCACAATCGATGAGGGGACGTTCTTTAGCAACCCTCAGTTTATGTGCATCGCACATCAGCAAACATGTCTGCAATTTGTTGTCATGAAGTCATCACAGGGTTTAGTTTACATCACATTGAGCTGCACTGCTTTAGTTAGACGGGAATGGTGATTTTCTGACGAGTTATTGCCTCTTAGGTTATATGCATGAGCACCATTGAAATTTATTATCATCGGCGAAGAATTCATAAAGAATGTGGGTTCGATGCACGTTTATGATCGATTCACACGATCAAAAATTGATCATAAATGATAAATTTTGTTAACCATTTTAAACCAATTATTCGTTTTGTCTGGTAGTCGTTATAAAAGTGAAAAATCCGAATTATAAATTTGAACCTTGTTAGCAGCTGGAAGTTGCTTGGAACAAGATAAGAAAGAAACAGAACATTCATTGGAGTATTGTGCCGATATAAAAATAATGGTCACTTTTTGCTCACAAATACAATATCGCTAACAAAATACGTAATACATAAATATAATACCAGAAATATCTAGCTACATAAATAAGATATCCCGTGAGTTTCCAAAAAGGAACATTTTTCCACTTCGTGCCTATAAGGAGTCCCGCAGCCCCAGACCGCGATGTGTTGTAGGACCCTTCACGAGGCTCAAGTAATACCACTATGACTGAGCACATTATTTCGTCTGCTGATTTTATGCCGATATCGACGCTAAGTCAACGCAGGCTATTCCAATGCAGTATTTACTGATATTGACTTTTCTCATGTTTTTGATGCATTTCCCTGAACAACAATCATATATCATTAGGATGTTGAAAATTCCTTGATAAATGTTCACATGATGTTCAAACATACATTCATTACACTAAATATTTGGTTCACGAATTTTTTTTGATTATTTTTTCAGTATTTTGAAGCTGTGGAGCTTAGCTGCTTAAGAGTTAGAAGAAAAACATTGTTTTCGTTATCAGTTGAGTTTACAAAAATTTTAAAGACTTATTTCAGTCGATAGCTTCATAAGAGAAAGCTCACAAAATCGTATGAAAACACAAAATTTGAAATAAAATTTGCAATTAATTGAGTTCTGTAAATTTCTCTTAATTGATATATCCATACACTTTCGGTCGGTAATTTTATATACTTTTTTCAAGTATAATAAAATCGTTGAAATTTAGTCTTAACAGTGTTTTTGGTTTAATTATTCTCACAAACGTTTCAGACTCTCTCTTGTGTCATCTGTGTTATGAGCTTTCAACTCTTTTGATGGATAAACAGAATGGTTGAATGATTAGATGAAATTAATTAGAGTGAAACACCGAACAATGATTCTTTAAGGGATATTTTTTTAACTATTTATGTATTTTTTAAGACCATACGAACTTCGCTGCAACTTTAGCGTATGTTTTAATCCTGAACAATAACTCATCGCCAACAATGGGATATCTGCAAATGAAATATCACTCTATTTAAAATGGTACTGCAACCTTTTATATATAAGACGGTGACAAGGATTAAATTTCAAATTCATTTCCGAAAGTATTTTGGTTTTTCAACCTTACATAACTTACGTTCATCTTTTGGATATTAATATTCTTCAACATTTCCAAACTGTATCGTTATTTCTTACTTGTGCATTACAATGCATACGAGTCACGGAGTTGGCTCATTCACTATCCCGGCATGAATAACGCACTACTCGCCACGACGTCATATGCTCGTCTGCAGCACAACCTAGTGCGACCTTCTCCATGCCTTGCTTCTCTTAACAATCGATGCCACTCTAAGATGCGCTCGTTAATGTCTGGGCCTCAATCAAATTTGACATTACTTCTCTTCATCAATCCAACAAATTGCTTAAATATCAAACGACGCTCTATGCTCATAAAATATTAAAAAACAATCATTTGATATTTTATCGATTTGCATGATCCACCGTGGCATATGATTCCAGTCTTCAAATAACTTTGAATAATTTAAATTTTAATCGTGAATGATTAGCGAAAGCGACCTTCCTCAGCAAAGAACACATATGCGGCTGAACATATTAAGCAAGTAAAACGAGAGTAAGTTTAACTCTGCTTAATGAGGAATAAGGATGAATTTTATAAAGCCGCATCGTTGAGTCTGAAACTCGTATTGAACATACCATTTCAGAAACATTCCATATAACGCGATTATTCCGGATTCGAACCAAAGCGCTAATGTGGAAATTTTGGTCATTTTACTTTTACGTTTGGCTACGCTCGATTACAATCGCAGCGGCTATTTTTATTAAAGATATCTTCCGAAACTAACGAAAAAATTAAATAAATGTACGAGCAC